ATTATGCAAAATTGTACGCATCAATTTTCAAAATATATGGGGGTTTGGTGGGGGTCAGTGGGGGCTATGAAATGCACCATCGATATCATGAATCGCTTTCACAATGATAAGGTGGGACATGTCTTTTGTGACTAGTTTTTTCATTAGTTTTTTACACATTTTCTATAAATATGCACAGTTTACATAGCAGTTCTATGCTGCAATTAGCGTTCGCAGAACCTCAAGGATAGGCAGGGGTCTCAAGGATTTGGGGTCTGACTCCTGTCTCAAGGAAGGGGTCTTTCTTTGATATTGGATACTCAAGGAATCGGAATATTTTAGAATTTAATAATAATTCTTAATTTTAACGGAAAATACTGCAAGTACATATAAATATTCCTTGATTAATCGTAAAATCTCATTAAACTTACGTAATCAAATTAAAAAATGATTTTACACTATTCAATAAATTAAAAATGGGTTATAAAACTTACATAATATGTACTAAATCCTAGATAAAGAGCTATATTTACAAATGTAAACAATATTACTATTAGGATTTGTCGTAAACTCTAATTAAAAATTCTATAAATATAATCTCAAGGAATTTTATGGCATGAATAGAAATTATTTTATAAAATCTGAAATATAACTAAACCTCCTGGAAACAATTTTGTTTCTATAACTCAAATAAATTATAAAGTCTAACATAAGAATCATTAATAAATAAAAGTTAACAATTGTTTCAGTGATTAAATCAATAATCTATATAATATTATAGGCACAATTATATTACAAGGGTATTTAATAAAATATTTAAAAATTTTCTTAATAAATATGACTAAAAATTAATACTCAAGGAAATCTCAAGGAATTTTTTTGCAGACTTTTAAGTTATTCTAAAGGAATTTAGATTTTAGAACGCTATCTGCAATTATTTTTCTAAATAAAGAATGTTATAATCAACACAAATAACGGACATTCAGTGTCCACTATTTCCCTATTAAAACACAGAAGACAAATACAAATATAGAGGACTGTCCTCTTCAATAGAGGACGGTTGGTCACACTGGTTAAAAGACCTCACTATCTTATACTGACTAAATAATATTAATTATAATATGATAACTAGTTCAACTGGGAAAGACATTTTCTGGTGATCGGAACTTATAATCTGATCCCTTTCCCATACCTATCCCAACCAAACTGACCAATAAACCAATCACTAACTCAATACATATTGTATTACTGTATTTATATCTCGTGTCACGCGCTTATACTCTATTGTATATTGCACTGCACTGCTGGTAGGCTTAGCAGTGCAACAATCCATTCAAATAAAAAATAAATAAAATCCGTTAATCACTCTTCTCTCGCACTTACAAAACCATTGTTAAGACTCATAATTTATAGAAAAAATAATATTAAGTAAATAACTAGTCCAGCTGAGAAATAAATTTTCTGGTGTTTGGAAGTCATAATCTGATCCCTTTCCCATACTTAACCTAACCTATCTGACCAATAATCCAATCAATAACTCAATAAATACAGTATTACTGTATTTACAACTCGTCTCACGCGCTATCACTGTATTGTATGCAAAACCTTATTACTGGTAGACTTTGCATGTGAAACAATACATTCAAATAATAAATAAATAAAAATCCGTTAATCACTCGTCTCTCGCGCTTACAAAACCATTGTTATGACCATAATTTACAGACAAAATTTTATTAATATAATTAATAATTACCCAAATTAAGTTTCTCTAATCGAATGGTAATTCTAATTATAATTTTAATTGACTCATAATTTAAATTTTAAAACATTATTAAACAATTAAGCCAAGTTGTAAATACATTATTTTAATTCTATTTATGCAAAAAGGTTTAAAATAATTTGTTTCTACTAACAGGTTTTTGACTTATCCCCCTCTTCTCTGACTACGTACATTTGAATGACATTTTAACAAAACTGAATGAGTGAATGGATTTATTTAATTTGTTTTATAGTTGTTTCCGAAGTCAATCAATACAACCGTTTGTACGAAGAGTTGCGTTCATTAGGTTCGGGAGCTTTTGGGGAAGTATGTGTTGCTAAACAGAAATCTGATGGGCAAGAATATGCGGTTAAGAAAATAAGATACCAAGGTAATTTAATGATATTTAGATATATTGGTATAACTATTACAGCATTAAAGCATTGAATTTGGAAATAAAATTTGGTAAAATATTGAATTATAAATGATGATTACAACTAATACACTTACAGGTTATGACGATTTACGGGAATGTACGCAAGAAATGCAAAAATTGATAAAAGTTAGGTCAGAATATTGTGTCCAATATATCAATCAATGGAATGATATCAATGTGTATTACATTGAAATGGAATTGTGTTCCAATAGTCTTAAGAATATTCTTCAACATAAACCACAAGTATTTGGTCGACAACCGGAAGAACCCATGAATTCAATCGAGTTTTACATTTCGTGTCATATATTTAAAGAGATCTTAGAATGCGTTCAATATTTACATGACTTAAAACCTCCGGTCATTCATAAGGACCTTCACTCTGGAAATATATTACTGGCCAGAAATGTAAGGAATGACAGGTTTTTCAGTGGCTGACTTTGGGTCGGCTACTATTCGCAAATCTATTTCAAATGTAAGTAACCCGGCCTATGAAGCACCGGAAGTACGTAGGGGTGAGTCAAATGAACCCAAGAGTGATGTCTACACTTTGGCCATAAATACTGAAGAGATTTTTGGTTTTGATTTGGAGGACATAATGCGGTCAGTAATGCATATATTTATGATTATATTAATTAAAAATTATTTCTATATTCAGAAGTAGTTCACAGAAGTATTCATCAGATAATGAAATGTTTAACAAATGTGTAATTGAATTGAAACGAGAATTAAAAGCCATGTTATCCTTAGACTCGACTGTCAGACCTACTTGTGGTCAAGTATTATCGGAATATAACTTATGGTCTATTGATAGGAATTGTCTCGAAAATGATCCCACATTTGAATCCACACTAAAACTTATTAATCGAAATGAAAACAAGTTTTTTATTGAATTTTTTAAAGCAAAATATCTTTAGTTGAAAACTAAATATAAGAATTTTCTATTGTTAACAATATTTTTAAAAAATACTTTAGTGAATAATCATGTACCGTATTTATGTGCATTAAAGAACCGGTTCTTATATGTAAGTTTGAGAGTGGGGGTGGTTCTTATATTCGAACTTAAGAACCATTGATTTAAAGGCCAAAATTTTGGCCAAAACATAAATAATTTCTTTAAAAATATTTTTTTGAAAATATAAAAATTTAGATAAAAAATTATAAATTCACATAACATAACTTAGGGGATCTATAAAATCAATTAAATCTCATTTAAATCAGGGAAGAAAATTACTTTTGGATAAGTCCCTGAGTTTTTTCTGAAGATAAATTAATTTAGAAGGAATTTCTCGATACGGAAAGTTGGCCATGCTAATTTAATTTATATGTACATAAACATAATCATATGCTTGATAAATATCCATGGTCAAAAAGTGCGAATTCGGGTGATAAAGTGGTCATTTGTGCGGTCAAGGAGGTGGCTGACATGATCATTTTTATATAAATTTAACATTATTTGTGTAGAGGGTATGCAATAAAAGTTTAGACGGCACTCAATCGTATAATAAGCACTTAAAGTTCAGCAAACATTTCCGGAAAACTTATGTGTATAATGCAGTCATACATACATTTCATGTATTTCATGTACAAAAATGATCATGTCAACCAACTCCTTGACCTCAAAAATGACCATTTTATCGCCCGAATTCGCACTTTTTAACCATGGATATTTATCAAGCATATGATTAAGTTTATGTACATATAAATTAAATTAGCATGGCCAACTTTCCGTATCGAGAAATTCCTTTTTAAAATAATAGAAATTATGTAATAACATAAAATAAATGTTGTAAATAAATAAAATTATGGATTGATTAAGTTTTATTAACATTAATATATAATTAAAAGTAATTTTAGTTAATATAAATATCACTGGTTCTTATATGTGGGTCTAGTACTAGGTGGTTCTTATATTCAAGTATAAGAACCTGACTTTTTGAGAAACATTAATGAAATACTAAACAAATGTATCGTTGAATTGAAACGAGTATTGGTTTCAATGTCTTTGAGAGACGACCCAAATGCGAGACCCGAGTGTTCGCAAGTATTGTCGGAATATAACTTATGGTCTATTCATGAGAA